GATGAGTGGACTGTTCTGCGCGTTCGTTTCCCTTGTTTGTGCGTGCATGTATTGGGCAAGCGGGCGAGAAGATGCATAAAAAGGCTCGTCAGTGACGCGTCCCCGGAACCTTCCGCGGCGACAGCCGCGCTTGCATGCCCTCGGACGGTCAACGCAACAACGACGCTGACACGAAGGCGAGGCCAGGGGGGCCAGGAGTGAAACATCATCCTGAGAGACAACGGCGAGCCCGCGCGGATCATGGCCGATCTCACCTGCCTCAGCAACCCTGCCGCATCGAGACGCAAAAAGGAAGGCCGCGGGTGTTCCGCTCGCTCTCCAGACGGAAAGCGCTACCAGGAGTGCTGCCCCTGTCGTCGAAATGGCGTCGGCGTCGAAAGCGTCGCCATTCGCGTTCACGTTGTAGTCGTCGTCGTCGTTGTCTCCACGACGTCCTGGACGAATCGTCGTCGTCGACGTCATCGTTGTGGTCTTCGGCGACAGCGTCGTCGTCGTGGTCGTGGTCGTCGTCGTCATCGTCGTCGTCGACGTCGTCGAGCGGTCATCGTCGTCGTCGCTACCGTGGTCGTGGTCGTCGTCGCCGCTTTCGACGTTTCCATGCCGCCGCCGTCGGGGCCCCCGAGCATCGCCACTGCTACGCACCACCAACGCGGCAGACCGCCTGGCATTCTAAACGTACCCGCCGATGCCAATCTGCTTCGCACAGATGTTGCAGAGACGCGAACGAGATGATTATCTGGTCGGACTGGGTGACCCTGTCATCCATTCCAGAGAGAACTAGCGCCTAGAACTCGGCTTGGCCACGCCACCCAAAGCATCCACGCGGAATACCAAACAAACCTGCCGAATTGTTGCACGAGAGATGCGCCATCGTCACAGCGAAATACACCAAATCCTTCAGTGCACGCTCTTGCGGGTAAGCACGATGCCGCCGAAGAGGAGGGACTGCTCATGGTCCACTGCGCCTGATGCGAATAGCATGCTCATTTCTCGTCGCTGCCGTGCCGACATAGAGCGATCCGCTCCGATAAGCTGCTTCCAAGTAAGTGGGCTCACGTGAAATTGAGCAATGACAGAACCTCAAAAACCTGCGCTGCGCGCATTGCCCTGGGTGCCCATGTTCGACACGCCAGCGTACTTATCATCCCCGCCATGCGATGCTTCACAGTTGCAACGTCGCCGACAAAGTCTACGCGCCAACGGGCGTCTTGGTCGGTGAACAGGTTCATGCTGCACACATGGAAATACAAACTCGTGCCTACCTGAGCGACGAGCTTCCTCGTGCAATTGAGGTCACCGCTGCCATCCCGCATCGGCTTCTTCGTGATCACTAGAGCTCTGACGGCGTTCTGGATTATGTGCAGAACTACCTCTGGCGGCGCACACTCCGCCATGTATGCTGGGCGACGGCAGTACGGCGACGATCGGAACTTGCCACAAAAAGGAGGCGTGATCACCGACTCCTCGCCCTTCTCGCTCCAAAGTACCCCTTCTGCAAGCCAAAATATCAGGGCGTACCAGCACCTCCCCGTGCCGACAGCAAGGAAACCTGGAAAAAGAGGCTTGTGCTCATGGGCGGAGCTACGCTCACAGCCCAACTGCAATGCTACGAGCCAAAGTGGCAACAGCGACGACAACGCTGGGGCACTCCTGGGCGCTCCTTAGCCTTCGGCAATGGCCCCAACCACGCAGGTCAAAACCTGCGTGACCGCACGACACGAACTCCGAGAAGGAAAAAGAGGAAGACGACGAAGAGCGGAACGAACGTCTCACACACACGGAAAGGCCGGACCGACTCCCACTAGCCCCAGAAGCCCGAGCTGCTCACGCCGCGAGACACCCGATCGACTCACCCTGTGGGAAACTTGAAAGTTACCTGGAACTGCACCAAGGACAACCGTGTATAATACTATATCCTGACAATTGGAACACCTGCAACGCCAGAGAACTAGACCCCAGGCCCCTGGACACCCGGAGGCACGATAAGCCTCGATCCACTACATGGAACGAGACGGGATACGCCGACAGTCATGTTGAGGGCCTCGAGCTTGTGCATACCTGCAAGACCTCTCCGCGCACTGTACTCCTGCACGACTACGAAGAGCGTTCTACCTAAATCGACTGTGTCCCGTCTTTCCAGAAGGCAAAGCGAACCACTTCAGCCCACGCGTTCCGTAGCGCTCCACGCGTCACCTGCGCGCGAGTGCGGCAGACGACACTTGGAACGACGACTCCCAGACCTCCACATGTGCCTACTCAACATCCGCAGGAAAACTGGCGCACCACTCGTACTCTCTTGGGAAGAGGCACAGGGCAACGTTGAACTTCTGTGCATGTCTTTCTGTGCGTTCTTGATGTGTGTCGGACCGCCTTTGATGTATGCGTGCTTCTGTATTGAATACATGCGTGTATAGGTGTGAAGGGGAATCCATGATGTGATGTCGCAGTGACGATGGATCCTGCGGATCAAATCTCGAAAGTGGCGCGTCTCCGAGACATCTCGCGCTGACCGCCGTGCCTGCATGTCACCGAGCGCTAACAGCCACGACGACCTGCTGACACGAACGCGGGGCGAATAGGGAAGAATATTACTCACATCAGATGCAAAAATGGAGATCTCGTAGAAATGCTGGGCTACGTGCGGCATTTGCGCACACAAGCCACCTCGTGCCAAAAAACACAGCAGGCGCGTGCGTTACGAGTAGGCGGAGCGAAGCTCACAGCCACACTCCAATACTAGAAGCCAGAGTGGCAACGACAACAACACTGGTCGGGAAAGATCGCTGCTTTCGACGACGGCCGCCCTGAGTCCATTACGACAACGACTACTACGACTACTACGACGACTCCTACTGTTACTACTCCCACTACTACTTCTACTGCTACTACTCCTACTACTACCACTACTTCTACTTCTACTACGACTACGACTACTACTACTACGACTACTACTACTACTACTACTACTACTACTACTACTACTACTACTACTACTACTACTACTACTACTACTGCTAACTACTACTACTACTACTACTACTACTACTACTACTACTACTACTACTACTACGACTACTACGACTACGACTACGACTACGACTACGACTACGACTATACTACTACTACTACTACTACTACCTACCAGTGCTACTACCCACGCACCACACCACCACCACCACCACCCCACTACTACTACTACTACTACTACTACTACTACTACTACTACTACTACTACTACTACTACTACTACTACTACTACTACTACTACAAGACTACTACTACTACTACTACTACTACTACTACTACTACTACTACTACTACTACTACTACTACTACTACTACTACTACTACTACGACCCTACGACGAAGGGCCCAAACGACTCGCACGCGGACGAGGTGCCCAAACGCCGCACACCACGAGAAGCACGACCGACTCGCACCAGGACGAAGGCCCGAACGACTCACACCACGAGGAACCCGAACGACTCACACCAGGACGAGGGGCCCCGACGACTCACACCAGGACGAGACGCCCGAACGACTCACACCACGAGGAGCCCGAACGACTCACAACACGACCAACCCGAACGACTCACACCAGGAGGAAGGGCCCGAACGACTCACACAACGAGGATACCGAACGACTCACACCAGGAATAGGGTCCCGAAAGACTCACACAAGGACGACGGGGCCGAAGGACTCACACAACGAGGGCCCGCACCGCCGCCTTCGTCGTCGCCGTCGTCGTCGACGTCGTCGTCGGAGGCGGGAAGAAGGAGGAACAGGGGGGGTATGCGGCGCCAAGCGGACACACGCCTGAAAAACACAACTGTCGGCACGCTTCGCAAGAGTTGCTGTTGTGAGATGGGCTGGTGGGGATGCGCGAAGCGTAAAGAATTTCCAGTGTTACAGTTCTGCTTCTTGCTGGTTACTGTAACTAGTTGATTTCTTGCTGGTTACTGTAACTAGTTGATTGACCGCGCGAGGGGGGGGAGGCCCAAACAGAATTTTTAGCCTCACCTGGGCGCGTTGTCTGAATTGCTGGGGGGGGCTCGAAATCGACACCCCTCACGCAGATCCGCGGGGTCAGGGTCCAAAAACACATGGGATTTGCCACATTTCTGAAAGTCGGTGCCACCCCTCACGCAGATCCGCGGGGTCAGGGTCCAAAAACACAGGGATTTGCCACATTTCTGAAATTCGGTGCCACCCCTCACGCAGATCCGCGGGGTCAGGGTCCAAAAACACATGGGATTTGCCACATTTCTGAAATTCGGTGCCACCCCTCACGCAGATCCGCGGGGTCAGGGTCCAAAAAAACATGGGATTTGCCACATTTCTGAAATTCGGTGCCACCCCTCACGCAGATCCGCGGGGTCAGGGTCCAAAAACACATGGGATTTGCCACATTTCTGAAATTCGGTGCCACCCCTCACGCAGATCCGCGGGGTCAGGGTCCAAAAACACAGGGGATTTGCCACATTTCTGAAATTCGGTGCCACCCCTCACGCAGATCCGCGGGGTCACGGTCCAAAAACACATGGGATTTGCCACATTTCTGAAATTCGGTGCCACCCCTCACGCAGATCCGCGGGGTCAGGGTTCAAAAACACAGGTGATTTGCCACATTTCTGAAATTCGGTGCCACCCCTCACGCAGATCCGCGGGGTCAGGGTCCAAAAACACAGGGGATTTGCCACATGTCTGAAATTCGGCGCCACCCCTTACGCAGATCTGCGGGGTCAGGGTCCAAAAACACAGGGGATTTGCTACATTTCTGAAATTCGGTGCCACCCTTCACGCAGATCCGCGGGGTCAGGGTCCAAAAACACAGTGGATCTGCCACATTTCTGAAATTCGGTGCCACCCCTCACGCACATCCATCGCAAGGCGTGGTGACCCAAACTGCGAGTACTCCCTCGGCCCTTGAATCCCAAGGTGTGGTAACCAAGCTCGTAAACCATACACGTCTTACCAATCGCCCTGTGTGGTAACCCCTCTTGTGATCAGTTGGTTTTGCCGATTGCGAATCGGCCCCGCATGAAGTTCCGATACTGCTGCACGACAGCGCCAAAGCCTCATGACTTAGCTCTTCCATGGCCCATTCTCCGAGAGAGGGGGCCGGCGGCAGGGGGCGAAGCCATTACGGATATGGGAGGACGTTCGCCAAAGTCCTGTTGAATTCCTCCTGCTCCACGAATGTTTTGCGCCCTTCCGTGGCGTCGTCCTTCCATTTCTGCGGAATGCACGCCCAGTCGATCCAGACGTGGGTGATGTCCGGGCTCTCGCGCAGAATCGTCTTCAGTTTCTTCAGCTTGGTGCAGTCCGGGTCAATGTGCCAATGCCTGACCCAGCGATGGCTGACTGCAGCCTTTGTCCTCGCCGCTCCAGACAGGACGTCTGCGTCGGTCATGAAGATGCGCACCAACTTGCCCTGATCCCTCAGGGTCTGGTGGCGGGGCATTGGCCTGTCCTCAGGCAGTGCCAGGAACTCCTCGCGGCTCATGAACCAGAAGTGGAAACCCTGTGCTGCGTCTGTCTGCGCTGCCCATAAACGGGGCGGCGGGGCGGAGAGTCGCGATACGTCTTCGGTGGGGTAGTGTTACGCAGTTTGTTCTGCATGGCCAAGCGTTACCATGCATGCGTATGCTATACAAAGCAGCAAAATTGTTTATCATCGCGCGCGCATAGCATACCATAGCATGGAACATCATAGTACCGCATAGCGCTTCACCTCATATCATAGCATAACAACGCATAGCACGTCATAGTCATAGTATCGGATCGTATACCACTTCATGCCATGCAACGCATTGCTGGCCACTAGCATAATATCTTAACAATGCACCACGGTGGACCGTCGTTGGAAATTTGCATCGGCCTCCGCAGCCACATAGGGACCTGACTCCAATATCTTCATGACTGTTTGATGGCTTCGCTGCTTCGCCCTCCAACTATGCTACGCTGTGCAGATTCGGCCCAATGAGGCATCGCCCCCCCTCGCGCGAGGACAAGGGGAGGATAATGAGGAGGAGGAAACGGTAGAGAGGATGAGGAGGAGAAGGAGCAGAATAACGAGAAAGGGAAGAGGAGGAGGAGGAGGAGGTGGTGGAAATGAGGAGGGAGAGGAAAAGGATTGTGTTCCAATTGGGAAGATCTTCGCTGAAGAGCTTCGCGCTAAGGCCCCAAGCGTGAAAACGTGAAGATCTTCGCGCGGGGAGCGTGTTGGGCTTAGTCGGGGGCGTGTGGGCCAATCCTGTGAGCTCTCTGCATTGTCTTGGAGGCCGTATTGGGTTTCTTTGGAAATCTGGCGGCTCGAAAAAACAGTGGGGAGGAAGATCACTTCAGATCTTCGCGCTGAGGATCAGAGGGTAATGATCGCCTCTTAAATTCCAAAAGCAGCCCCCCCGCATCAATATTCTTAATGTAGATATTTCTGCTGGGGCCCTCTGGTGTCGTGTCGGGGGGCCTTTGGGAATGAACCTTGTGGGCGGTCTCTTGGAGGAAAATTTGGGCCGGCTTGGGCGGTTGAGGGGGCTCTGGAACATCCCCAGCGTGGAGGTCTCCGCTGTAGATCGCCGTGCCAAGGCCTCCAGCTGTAAGATTTTCGAATTACTGAAGATCTTTGCGCGGGGATTCACTTGGGCTTGGTCGGGTGCCTTTGGGACTGGGGCCTCTTGAATTGGTCATGGAAGCCACATTTGGTTTCTTGGCGATCTGGAGGCCCCAAAAAGTGCCCAGCGTGAAGATTTGGACCGAAGATCTTCGCGCTGAGGCCTCAAGCGCGAAGGCCTTCACTCAATATTTTCGCGCGAGGAGCCTCTGGCAATCCTGGAAGCCTTTGGGGTTGTCTTGGAGGCCATATTGGATGACTCTGGCGACCTGGAAGTCCGAAAGTATCCCGAGCGTGAAAATCTCAACTGAAGATCTTCGCGCTGAAGCCCCAAGCGTGAAAATCCCCGCTGTAGATGTCAAAGCCGAGGCCCCCAGCGTAGAGATCTCCAATTTAGATATGCTGGGGGCCTCTCGGGCCGTGCTGGGGGCCTTGGCCTGGGAGCCTTTGGGGTCGTCGCGGAGGCAATCTTAGGCCGTCTTAGGCGATCTGGGTGCCATGGGAGACCCCCAGCGTGGAGATCCCCGTCGTAGACCGCCGCGCCGCGGGTCCAGCGTGAAGATATTATCTGATGATCTTCCGGGCAATCATCCACGTGCGTCAGAAGCCATACAATTTGGCACAAGTATGTATCAACCATCGCCATGAGCGCATATGTGAACATAGCATGCGCGTGCTACGTGAAGGATTTGGATGTACATGCTTTGATGTCCGCTTTGATGGGTATTTGGGAGTCTCGGGGCGCATCGCGTTCACAGTGCGTGCGCACGCGCACGCAAACATCCAAGTGCAATAAGACAAACTACCGTACTCTGTCTGAGGGGGATTGGACGGGGGAACTTGGAGAGGGAGGAGGATGAGAGGAGGGGCGGGGGAAGGTGGAGGAGGGGCCGGTAGGGGGTGAAACGGAGGAAGAAGAGGAGGGGAGGAGGAGGGGAGGAAGAGGAAGAGGAGAAGGATGAATTGGGGAGGAGGGAGGGGAGGATAATTCGCCGGCCCAACGGGCCAGAGGCGTGCTAAGATCTCCGGTAACTGGTAAACAGTATTTCTAGTTCGCGCGCGCGGGGCGGCCCCTGGGGTCCCTGGATCAAGAGTACCCCGGGCGGAGCCCGGGACACTCCCCCAGATCCTCCAGGATCGCCCCAAGAGGGCCCCAAGAGGCCCCCAACACAATCCAAGAGAGGTCCGAGACGCCCGAAGATCGCTCCACGGCGCCCAAGATGGCCTCCAGACGGCCCAAGACGTCTCCAAGATGACCCAACAAGCCTCCAAGATGCCCCAAGAGACCTCCAGGAGCACTCCCAAGAGGGCCCCAAGAGGCAAAAATCATGTTTTTTTCTTAGGTTTTGGACAGATTTGGGCGTTTCAACCTTTTCGGTTCCCCGACGCCCCTAAACGGCTCAAGAGGCCTCCAAGATCGCCCCAAGAGGGCCCAAAAGGCCCTCAAAAGGGCCCCAAGGCGGCCCAAGACGGCCCCAGAGGCCTCCAAGACGGCCCAAGAGGGCCCCGAGAACGCCCCCAACACGGTCCAAGAGAGGTCCGAGACGCCCGAAAATCGCTCCACGACGCTCAAGATGGCCTCCGGACGGCCCAAGACGTCTCCAAGATGGGCCAAGAAACCTCCAAGATGCCCCAAGAGGCCTCCAAGAGAACTCCCAAGAGGGCCCCAAGAGGCAAAAACCTGTGTTTTTTTTTCCCTTGGTGTTGGACAGATTTGGGCGTTTAACCTTTTCGGTTCCCCGACGCCCCTAAATGGCTCAAGAGGCCTCCAAGGTCGCCCCAAGACGGCCCAAGAGGCCCCCAAGAAAAACGCCCCCAACACGGTCCAAGAGAGGTCCTAGACGCCCGAAGATCGCTCCACGACGCCCCAAAATGGCCTCCGGACGGCCCAAGACGTCTCCAAGATGGGCCAAAAAGCCTCCAAGATGCCCCGAGAGGCCTCCAAGAAAACTCCCAAGAGGGCCCCAAAAAGCAAAAACCTGTGTTTTTCCTTTGGTGTTGGACAGATTTGGGCGTTTCCGACGCCCCTAAACGGCTCAAGAAGCCTCCAAGATCGCCCCAAGAGGGCCCAAGAGGCCCCCAAGAGGGCCCCAAGACGGCCCAAGACGGCTCCAAGACGGCCCCAGAGGCCTCCAAGACGACCCAAGAGGGCCCCAAGAACGCACCCAACACTACACAGCTCCCGACGCCGCAGCTCCACGCTGCAAGCGACCACTCGGACAGGCGACCACGGTGCGACATTATGGGCCGGCGGACTGAGCGAAACGATTACATGATGAAGGGAGCAAGGACGCGGGGGAAGGAGGGAACAAAAACGCGGGGGGATGGGGGGGAGCGGAGGTGGAGGAGGAGGAGGAAGGGGAGAAACGAGGGGGAGGATGAAGCGGAGGCGGATACCGAGGAGAGGAGGGATGGTGATGAGGAGGCGGAGGATGAGGAGAGGAGGTGAGGAAGGGACGGAGGGGGAGGAAGGCTCGCGGCGGGCGCCCAAATCAAAGCGAGGTAGCTTCAGACGTACAATGGGTGGTTCAAGTCCGAACATACCAGATTATATGCTCTGGGATTCGGACGTTCCCAGAGGAGAGGAGGAGGAGAAGGACGAAGGCACGGATGGTTGGATGAACCCGCGGTTATTTGGAGAATTGTTCGAGGGCTTTCAGGAAGCGTTCTCGTCGCTGCGAATTGACGCAACTGGGAAAACTTCATTGGACCGCACCCCTTGGGAATTTTTTGGTTGGGATCGGTTGCGCGGCCCCGTCGTCGACGACGATGGCGACGACGGCGCCGGCAGCGCCGGCGGCGACGGCGGTGACGGCGATGGCGGCCGCAGCGGTGGCGTCGACGACGGCGGCGATTGTCATGACAAAGAAAACGAACGCGACGACGACGACGATGGCGGCGGCGACGACGGCGTCAACGGCGGCCGGCGGGCGATTGTCACCAGTCACCGTCGTCGCGAAGTCGTGGTCGAGAGTCGTGGGCGCCGTCGTCGTCCGTCGTGGCACTCCGCACCCGTCGCGCTCGTCGCGATCGTCGCAGTTGTCGTCGAAGTAGTCCTCGCCATCGTCATCGTAGCACGGAGCTCAAGAGTCAGCGTCGCATTCTTTCGCATTCAAGGGTTGTCGCTCTGTCTAGCATCCTCGTGGACAAACTCCGAACTATCAAGATCTGGGTGGCGCTCGAACTGCGCGTCGACGTCGACAGACATCCGAACGCCAGCGCCTCCTTTGCTTCCTCCCAAAACCTCATGCAAACATCATCGATTCACCGTGCCAGCCCCAGCTTCCACTTCAACCTAAGAGCGTGGCATGTGAACTCTCGGTCGATCGCTCTCCAGTCGGGGACGTCCCTGAGCTGACTAGAGGGGCGGCGCTGGAACAATGCACTTCCCCAA